CCTATGCATTAGCCGCTTTACTGAATACCTAGCAGACCGCCTATGCATTAGCCGTTTTACTGAATACCTAGCAGACCGCCTATGCACTAGCCGCTTTAAACAGTTTTAAACAGGGCACAAGGCAAACCTTTGAATCATCATATCTGGTGTGGTCAGGCCAAATCTCCATATACTTTGATGGTTTCAGTGCAAAGGCTTCGCTGGTGCGTGCTACAATTTGGCCGTCATCGATCTGCGTCAATATGGAATATGACATGATGTGCAGAGTTGGTGTAGCGTCGATCATCACACCTGTGACCATAGCAGCATGGAGCATTGTATCGGCGTGGGGACTCCATTCTCCACAACATCACTCCCAACGCGCATGTCAATGCATCGATGTGTGGCCCGCCACAGTGGACGAGATACAACAGTTGGCACACACGTCCCCCTGCCTCTTTTTTCCGCGCTGAGAAACTATATGTTAGTAGCGATACCAGGAGCCCTTAGTAGCAAAACCAGGGGCCCTAGTAGCGTTCGTTGTGACTGAAAAGCTTAGGCACAGGTGTGGACACACTCTGACATTGGTTTTCAGTTACACTCAATTTCCCGATGGGAAGAAAGGCGAAGAACCGCAAGGCGAAAAAGTCCGGTGACTTGAAATGTTGAACATTGTTTCACTCGCGCTGCTGGCGGCAATGCACAAGCGGCTGGAAGCTGCAGTGGAAAACCTGTTTGTGGGGAAGGTAGCATGGGAACAACCATGAAAACAAAGAACAGCGGCCGAGGGGAACCAGTGGAGTCAATGTGTTTGGTCGCAGGTACAGGATCAAGCGTCCTTGATCCCTTCCCATCTGTGGTCGTAGCTTCGTTGCGTGCAGTGGACCACAGATGCTGCACGCCCCTGCCTTGTGGAGTAGTGGTGGTGGAAACAGTGGCATTGAACCCTTTGGTACAGGGGGTGACACACACACACACACCATGTCACACCTCTTCACCCCACTTCCACCTCTTCCCACGTCCGCCGCCTTGGCGGAGGCCAAATGGTTCTCGCTCAACGCGGCCAGATTGCAGCGAAAGCAAAGCGGCGGCTCCTGATACGCCGAGGCCTCGTCGTGATTGCAGCGGAGAGGAGCAGCTGGGCTTCGCTGACGGGAAATGGGGCGGGTTGGAAGTGGTGGATTCCCCGCTGGACTTCCCTACCGTCTCTACCCTTCTGACCTTATGTTACCTGAAAGGTTTGTTGGGGGGGCCTGGTTTAGGAGTATGGTGACTACAGGGCGTGCTTGACAGCGTGTAGTCAGGCTGTGAACTGAACTCTGACACATATATCTATAACAGTCATGGAGATCCATCGGCCTGCGAAGGCTGCAACAATTGAAACCACCAACCATAATTGAGCATTCTAATAGAAATATGGCCAATCAGTCGTATTCTATATTCTATGAGTCATTCTTCCTTCTAGAATTTGAGCCATATAGAATATGACTCTAAATCAGACGTCGTTGGGAGTTGTTGCCATCTGGACGACCGTGTAGTCCCGTCGAAAAAACTTGTTGGTCGACCAGAGGCTCTCTCTCTATCATCCACCTCCTGGGAGTTCCTATTCTGTTGGAAGGTCAACCGCAAAAAAGTGTAAATCTATTGTCCCAATGGTACAAATACATTCAAATAAACCAACACATTCAACAACAAGTCTCCCAGATTTGCCCCAAAGCCACGATGAACCAACCGAAAGCAGAACCGGTCCACTTGTTGGCAGAACTGGTGCGAGCTGGTGCTGCAACCGGCGCATGGTTGGACCCTCCGCCTGGGCCGTCGCTGGGCACCCCACGGACTCAGTGTGCTGCCTGGCGCCAATGGAGCGAATTGTGAGGCAACGCATTGTGAGGCAAACTGCAGACTTATGTCTTTTCGAAGAACCCCATACTACAGGAGCTTGGAAAGAACAGAACAGGTCCCATGGAAACACTTCGCAATGTCGGTTCTTAAGGGCATCTGTGCTTGGTTGGGTGCCAAACACTACCTTGTTGCATTCTTTGGACAAGTCAAGTCCGTGTTTTCGATGTTTTTGCCCTTCCGTGACCCACACGATGGCGGCGAGGCCAGGCCAGTGGTTTGGTCTCGTATTAGGTGTTTGTTGCTGGTGTTTTTGGTTGTTTCTTGGGTTACCATGGCTTACAATGGGGGGTACGACCCAAAAGTCGTGGAGGTAGAAAGTCACCCGTTGACTTGGGCCAGAGGCGACGGTCGCTTGGGCGAACGATGAGCAGAATTGATGGAGGAAACCTAAAAATCACACAATCGAACACGATGTAAAATATGTGGGAGAACCCCAATCTGTTTCTTGAAGTGGTCTATCCGAAATTCTAGGCGCATTGCTTCCAGAAGGCACTTACAGGAGAGCACACGGATGTGACATAACATCAATAGGGTCTGCATCATTTTGCATCTGAAGCCAAAACATAGTTGAAGTTCTGCAACAGAAAACAACATGATTGCCAAACAGTTCTTAGGTATGATGCAGGTCTTCAAGTCGGGACCAAAAGCGACAGTAAAACCATGCTAAAAACACATGAGTGCACCCACGCGCACACTTGAGAAGGGTGCTCCGTGGAGCGAGAATTCAGAATTTCAGGTTGGATCTCTGTAAGTTACTGCATTGAGCCTTCGGAGTTCAATCTCTGTTGATTTGTTTTGTTGTTTTGTATAGCCCTAAGCCTCTTGGTGTATGTTCTAGCCTTGTGTGGTTCAATTTTTTCAAACCTGAACCACCACCTCTGCGCGAATTGATGTGAATTCCAGATACCTCGTACATAGTCCACCACAAGAATTCGTAGAATCGGCCTTGCATGCCCGGTTTTATACCAGTTGGACCCCCATCAGGGAGCCGGCCCCATCAGGGAGGCGGCCCCTTCGTTCAGCCATCAAGGCCTGCCTGCTGAGCCTTTGTCTTGTTGCAGCAATGAAGTTCCAAAGGAAGCCAGGCAATTGCTCCTTCAAATACTTCAATGCTATGATTGACTGTGCAATCCATTGACAATCAGCTTTATGGGACACTGAGATTAGGCGTCATCCAGTTTCAGGTTGGTGATGTTCACCATATAGCTTGCACATGCAGTGAACATCTCAAGGAAAAAGTAAACCCAAAGCTTTGCGGATCGCTCGAAGGATTCGCGATCGCCGGGATACAGAAGGTCGCACACCTTCGCTCGGCGTGCGAGTGCGTTCGTGCGAACGGCGGTTTGTGCCACCTTCCGTTGCTGGGTCGCCAGCAGCATTCGGAGTCGCCACAGAAAAGACATCCGTTTTTCGGCCCAGTGAGGGGCTTGCCAACTGCGCAGTTCGCGTCTGCGCATCGAGATCGATCCACATGCCCTTTCGGCTTGGCCCTTGCTTGTCGAAGTCTTGAGAGGAGCCTGAAGATTTCAAGTCTGAGCATGTCAGGTTTTCAGAGGTATCAAAGCCTTTCAGCCACGCCCGTGGGGTGCCATGCCTTTCCCTTCGGGTGCGCGTCTCGCACCTCGCGTTGGAAGCAGACCGGATCTTATAGGTTTACCTGTCAGAGCGGATTTCATGGTAGTGATGCTGTGATGCCGTCAGAGTCCATGATTTCTTGGAGGTGCAACTTGTTTATACTCAGTCAGCCAGTCTACTCAGTGAGCGCAAGCCATGACAGCTGTAGGAGTTCAACCCACGCGCTTGCGCAGTGGAATTTGAGTGTACCCCCTTAGACCACTCGGGCAACCTGTCCGACAGCCTCTGATACCTTTCAGAGTATCCTCGCGCTGGAAAGCAAACGGCAACAGAAAGATTCGCTGGGTCTATGGTTGATGGATGTTTAGGGTCTATGCCTTTATCATAGCGGGGAATGTTCAAAGGATCTCTGGGTTGAACATTAAAGATCAACCTGTTTTGGTGCTGCCGGCTGCCAGCCGTCTCTGTCAAGTGTTTTCTATACAAACTACTACAGTATGATCAGTATGTTCCACCAAGACGGCTCTGCCGAAGCACAGCCCCAGTCAGTGATGTGAATGTGGCAGCTGACGTCTGCGCTTCCGGGGTATTGAGCTGTGCTGTTGTGAACTGTGATGTGGACCCACAGTGTGGGTTGTGAGCGGGTGGTTGTTTAAGCATGTCATGGGTGATGCTGTGAAGTGCTGGGTTGTGAACTGTTTCTTGTGCCGTAGTGTCGTGTAGTGTAGAGTTGCTACATAACTATACATGGCTTCTACAAACTAGCCAGTTCTGCACCCACAGCTCCCGGAAGCTACTCCGCAAAATACACTGACTTGCATTGCACAGTTGCCAGTTCTGATGCCAAGGAAAAGAGCTACTTTGCGTACTGCACGAACTACAAAGTCTCTAATTCTGTTCATTGCGCAGCCCCTGACCTTGCGTACTTCGAAGTCACCGAATTCCTTTCACTAGTGTCGCCGAGCTCTTCCACTGTCCATTCGCTGCTCTTTGACTCCCGCGTCCTCGATGACATGTTTATAGAGGCAACATGTCGCAATGCGGACCTTTCTGAAGCTTTCTTTGACAAGCATCTATACCCATATCTACCCTACCAGTCATATCCGACAGTCATCTACCAGACTCAAGCCTTGCTGCTTGTGGTTCTTCCCCTTTCTTCACCGATGCCACTCCACTCCCAAGAAAGGATCACAACCAGCTTGCACAGGTGTCCAATACACAAACTGAACATGCACCATGCACCATGCATCGGCGGACATCACCCGCATAAACCACTCAAACCTCCCAAACCCACTGACCCACCACTGACCCAGATCGAACCGAAGAACCCACGAACCCGCGCCGCCTCTCGTGATCGCAGCTGTGTTGCTTCAAAGCTCCGTGCCTCGGGCGCAGAGAGAACGAACGAACGGCGCTGAACGAACGGCGCTGGATGTTCCATCACCGAAATGCAACAAAAATACCAGGAGTTGAATGAACGCTTTTGTAAGGTCGAACATCAACCTTTGCGAGCCTTGGTGGTCAAGTACGAGTCATAGACCCCCGGAACTTCCGGTTGGAGACCATGAGACTATAGGAAATGGTCCATAAGTAAGGCGAGCAATGGTAAGTTCATGAGTCCTGAACAATCATACCTAGGAACAAGAAAAGGTAAGTCCTCCAGAAATCACTCAGGTAGAAATGATGTGGGTACCGATAAAAGTAATGTACTAGGAAGAAGAATCACTCAAGGAACATCACTCTGTAGGTAGAAGTACTGGTACTGGTAGAAGTAATGTGGGTACCGGCAAACTCACCAAGGTTCCCTTTACGATAAGAGTGCAACGTAGCCCCCCGCCGGAGAAGCAAAAGCTAAAGCTGAAGCTTGCCTGTGAGTGCAGGGCTTCCACACGCACACATTGCACATACAGCAGGGTTCTCGTCGATGATCCTTTTTCCAGCGTCTACGACTCTGAGGCCAATGTTTCAATCGCTGCCTTTTTAGACATGTCTGGGTGTCAATCAGAACGAAAGAAACATAACCTCAAACATCAGACCTGTTCTCTGGGTTGTTTCCACGGCATGCTGTCTTTGTCCGTGAGTTCTTTCCATCTTGGCATTTTCTTCACCCAAACCCTGCCGTCGACGGTGAACCCCCGCCAACACTCGATGCCTCACTGCCTGAGATCCCCCGACAGCAAGGGCACACTATGGTAGAGGCTTTGAAGCGTGGCATTCATGTAGCCTGGCATACACTCAAGCAGAAAGGAGACTTCTTGAGGGCCCTTCTTGAGGAAAGTAACACTTACTATATACGTGTATATAACAGAAAGGTTGCGTGGAGTAGAACCTGAACAAATTATGAAAAATGCTACCATGACCAAAACCCCCGCACTCACAGTAGTATGGACGAAGAAAACACTTTGTGAGCTCATGTGATGGACGTGATGTGGTGCTCTTATTGCTGTCGAAAATCTTCTCATTGAGCTGTTCAAGAAGCGTACAGATGTTGCAATTTCTTTCTCGTTTTCTCATCAAAACACAACTTTGGTATATAGTTAAAAGAGGCGGTTTCCTTGACAAATCGAGCAATCAAAAGAAATCAACAGCACGTGTCCAATTCTCACGAATCGTGGGTGAAGAAGGTCCAAAGACCATTGAAATAACTTACACAAAATGCCACTATCGTTGCATATCAGTATGTGCGAAATCGTTGAAATCCACTAACAAACAGTCTGCAGAGGCCTGACGGTCTAACCCCAAATCAAGTTGTTGAGGCTGGCGGCAGGATCGTCTAGACTCCTAGACCACTACGACCAGTGCTCTCCAACAACTCTGGAAGATCTTGGTCCCAAACCTGCAGCACAGCGCAAGTGCTATGCCCAAAACCCATCAGTGCCTTGTGTTGTTTGCTCATGTTTGTTGAGTATTCTTTTAGATGGAATGCTCGCAAACTCATCAAACACTTCCTTCTAGCTTCAACTGCCCTGCCAAAAAGGAAGGACCTTCCAGCGTGAATGCCCAACCGTTCGCCGGCCCATGTCCATCCATCCTAGCTCATCACATGACTATGGGTTGGGTCTATCCTACTACCTGTAACAGTGGATGATGATGGTAAGTAAAGGCCATACCGGGGCCATACCCAAACTATGGGCCCGAGTTGGAACCCATCCCGATTCATCCGTGGTCCCGATTCGTCAGACCGTCAAGACCTGGGGAGGAGCGAGCTGAAGACCTGTCTCACCCAAGCCATCTGATGAGCCGCCTCTTGTAAGCCAAGGTATATATGAAGGTATATATGTAAGCCGTAAGCCTCTTGTAAGCTCTATGAGCCGCCTCTGATGAGCATCTATATATACAGTATATATATATATACCTTGTGAGCCTCAAGATCCTTTGCTCAAAACTGAAGCCAAGGCCTTATAGGCCTTAAGGTATATATGCAAAAAACATCCGATGAGCCCCAAGCGCGTCGGCGGTGCAGCAGTTAGCAACCTCAGAGAACCCAAGGTCAAGAACTGGAGAGACTTTTGGGCCAGTGGATGTTCATTTTTCTTGCTGACTTGCTTGTTCGACACCTTTCTACTTGAGATCACACAAACATCAAGAAGTTGATACATCGCAACTATCTCATGAAATATATTGAGATATGAAGCTCCTGCATCGTGCCGAGCCTCAGCTTGGCTCCATCGTCTGATGGGCCAACATGCCAAGGCAAGCCGGCTTGCTGGGGCTCCAGGCATTCCGCAGGCCCCGTGGCCAACCACCACGGGCGCTGAAGTCACTTGACTCCAAGAGCCTGGAGAAGGCCGAGGGAGGAGTGAGCTGAGCATGCGTGGTGCGTGCGGTTGGTCATCTGTCTTTTGTTTTCATTATTTTTGATGTGTTGGCAAGGGTTGGACCAGTTTTCTGTCTTCGATGGTTGGCATTTCGTTACCCCTGTTGAAAGCCATACTGGATGGGACAAGTTCCTTTCTATAGGAACATCAGGTGGTTAGCAATGGCTTCTGGTTTCTTTGCTAATCCTCAACGATCCCCGCGTTGCCGAGCTGCGTCAATCAAAGTGCAACAGTTTCAGGTAGGGGGAGACAACCAACAACTCTTAAATAAAGAACACCCGAACCACACATCCCCAAAAAAGGACACCAAACACCTCAAAGAGCTTCCAAACAAACAGCCAGAGCTTCCGAGCCAACAACTTTCCGAGCGAGTCTGAACCCAAAACAATCCGATGAAATCCATCAACAACACATCCTTCCAGCTAACAACTCACGGGTCTCCCCTGGATGAAGAGTTCATGGCTGGTGCCCCCACTGGTCTCTTCCCCCATCCGACGCATCCGATGCATCTCGGGCATCCCCGACTTCCGCCAGCTGGCGTCGCTGTGCACGGGCCTGGCGGCCGTGGGCGGGAAGGAGAGCAGGGAGGCCAAGCAGCGAAACTGCTCTGATTTGGAGCCATGACACATACTCGTATAAGGTCCGGGTTTTCGTTTTAATGACACCAAGTCCCCCACCCGGTGGAACTACATTATGCGATCATTAAGAAAACAGCTCTTTGCAAAAGACCCCAAGCAACTCCCAATGCGCTTGGAGCTTGGACCCAATCTAGCACCCCAACCTACACACCCACCCGCATCCATGCTGGTACAAAACCGGAAACCGCCCCAAATCCATGGCTGGTCATTGAAAGCTCCTGATGGTGCATGGGCGGTGTGTTGTTCTTTATCCCACGCATGGTGGTGCTATGAGGAGCGGCCCTTGTGCAAAGTCAAACGGAACGTCTGTAGGCATGAAAGGTCAAAAAATAAGGAAATGTCCGCATTCATTTTGGCAATGTCCTTATTCGACAAAGATTGTAAGCAATGCAAGTAGTATATAATTACTGTAAACACATGTCAATACGTGCAATCAGTTCAAATAGCATCACCAGCACCATGGTACAACGCAAGCTTTGCATATGTTTGACACTGTCTTGCTGTTTGACACAGGTTAGAGTAATGCCAAAAAGTGCACGTGGCCCAAGCAGCATCACAAACACCATGGTCAGAAGGAATCAATCAGGAAAGGGTGTCAGGTAAAAATTGCATATACCTGTTCAAACTTGAAAGCTTTACCCATTTCAAGCTGGAGCGCATCAAATGATTGAATTAGAAAATAAAGGAAAGCACGCAAGGAAAGAATCAACACCCGGTAGAAATTGATAGAAATTGCATTCAACAGTCTTCCTGGGTTTCTTGCAATATCTTGGCCTTCCACTCACACATAGATGTTTTGCTTAAATCTGTATACAGTACTAAGTAAGATTTGATCTCTGATTTTATCGCCCACCTCCCAAAATTGAACAGGTGGCACCACGATTTCAAAACACCCAACCTGAACAGCATGAAGCAGAGTCTGAACCTCCGCATGCGCAATCACTCACTTTCAGACCTTCAGCGGGACCCATCTTTGGCATCAGACCTATCAAGGGCCCCCTCGATGTTTTTGGTATCCCGGTATCCGACAACTCCTCTCGATTCTGACGGTAGGTACTCTTGGAAATGGATGACGTCAGTGAAGAAAACGATCACGGTGCCCAAGGGCTTGCACAAGTGGTTGCAGCTATTGGGATGTTGCTCACGTGCAGCAACAACCAGTGGCAGAAAAAAACCCTTGGAAGCCACGGTTTTCACACAGGACGATGGCGACATGTCATTTCTATCATCCAAGGGTCGACTGGGTTACTGTAGCTGCACTGTGTTCAAGGACTTTGCATACCAAACCCAATATATACATTCCAACTGATTAACATGGAAGTGGAAACCACCTGTGTAGAAAGGAACACGGTCATCCAAGAGGCCATTTTCCAGTTCCATGACTAATCCAGGAAGTGTAGCTGTACAAACGGAGATATTGGCCCTCCACCAAACCCGCCCTTGGGCACCTCGCCTCTCCACTGACTCCGCCAGTAGCCGTGCCGGGGGCTTGGGCACTGGGCTTTTGACCTGCAAGATGTCCTTGGAGCGGAGCCACCAGTCAGTTCACATCTAAAAGCCAGACATATCTTCTGCCAAGCGAGATTGATTAGCAAAAGGAATATTCAACTATGTGATACTCCACTAGATTGGCAAAGAGTAGACTTCCGAGGTGAATCTATCAGAACAGAAGCTTCCTGTCGTACTGTGCTCCCTTTCTTCGCTCGCGGTACGTCTTCGCCCAGCTGAGCTGCGCCCAGGCCACAGTCGCCCTTATGGCCCAGGTTCCAGTCCTGGCCAGGTCTGGACCCCCGGGGACGAGTTGGACACTTGTACCAAGTGCCCCGAACACTTCGCTGGAGAAGTCTTCCGTTTACGGGTCTAAGGGTCCATCTTTACCCCAACGGGTCGAATGGGTGAGGTTTTTTGGAACACACACCTCGTTCCTTTTGTGTGGGACAGTTGAGTTCATGGATGGATTTTGGAGTCCACAAGGTTCATGGTAAAGAACATGTCCTTGGCTCCTTCCTTTGGTCTTTGAGACGCTTGGTTGCTTGAGGCACTACGACTAACTCCAATGCAACCTCTGCGACGACAGCCACGCTTTGACGAAGCCCAGCCTAGCGTAGCGTACAGCTTTTGGGTGCTCGCTCAGTCGCTACGTCCTACAACTGCCCCAAAGGGCGAAACCTCCAAGTCTCGGAGATGGCCGGCCTCGTTGGTTCGAAACCACTGCGGCACCCCAAGTCAAGCCCAAGTCTTGCCCAGTTCGTGCATCTGTTGTAGGTTTCTCACCCCCAAAAACGGATCTTTCACTTTGGACCAACGTTCTGGATTTCATCCTTCAGTCGAGTTTCAGAGGGCTTCAGCTCTTAGCCCCGATGCTTCAGAATGACTCCCAAATGGATGAAGTAACAAATTACCCCCCAGACCACTAGAATCAAAGCATGATGGGCAAACGGCAACACCAAGAAACTTCCAACTCAGAACCCTTAGTGGTTTTCTGTGGCTTGGAGTCTCACTTTAGGCACCATGCACCGGTTTTCTATGGTTTTCTTCTTGTTTTCTCCTTTACACGGACCCCACGGACCACTGCGGTCTGCTCCGGTCCCGTCTTCGGCGCCCGTCCGCCATCGCGGCTCGGCCTTCGCCTGGCAGCTTTGAGAGCAGTACCATCTCCTAGGCGATCGGCGATCTCGGCCGATGGAGTACCAGGACCATGAGGGAGTATCATCTCGATCTGGACATACTGCCTCATGGCAGCCAACTCTGAGTAGCCAAACCACACCAATCCGAGAGTTGGGCTGCTTTGGGTTGTCTTGGCATTGGCTTTGGCATTGGCTTGGTGTGGTTTGGCTTTGGCTTGGCTGGTTTTGATGGTTTCTCTGTTGATGGCATGCGAGAGCAAACATCCAAAGGGAGAGCAAACATCCAAAGGGAGTTGTTGTCAATACCGGGACAACAACAACTTCTGACCGCACCACAGCCAGGTGGGTTCCCACCAAAGAATGAGGACCCGTTTCACACAGAGAGGGTTTTTCGTCATATTCTGCAAAGGTGCCCAGGGTGCCCACCAAATGTCACACACACACAAACGTGGGACCCCCTTCAGAAACTCTCACCATGTCGTGGTTCTGGAACTTTCGGACACCAGAATAGGACCAGTCTCTCTTGTAGTTTGTAGTGGCGCCCAACAAGATGGGGGCCACTAGGTGTGGAAGGCCAGGATCCTGGAACTCTACTAGAGCGGCTAAAGCCCCCCTGCTATTTTACCTGGAACTAGAGTGATGTTCCCTGTGAAGAAATGCGTCAGATAATTCAAGTATGGTTTTTAGATGGTTTCTAAACGTTTCTAGTAAGGAACACACTCAGAGGCTCTTTTGGGTCAACGATTGCCAGCCGTGGTTCCATGGCCATGGCATACTGGCTAGTCGCAAATTGGCCACTGCCTAGCCATCAACATTTATCCACAAACAGTTAACACAGCTATACTGGCATCTAGGACACATATATGTGTCCTGTACATGCGTCCGCCACTTTTTTCATCACTAGCCTCACAGCTCCCACGATTCGTCACGAGTTCCGAACTCGCTTCGCTTCCGCCAGTTTTTCGTCGCCGAGTCACCCCTTGCACTTGCTGCAATACACGGAAGCCTCGGCAATACACGGGCAAAGCGCGCGAGGAACGAGGAACCCAGGAAGCGAAAAGAGGATGGAGAACGACTACGACTTGGTTATACACATCGTTTGGCTTTTTAGAATCCATAACTGATCGAGGTATAAGGAACAACTATATAGGTGAATTCTTGAAGGGCTGGACTTCCGGAAGGCCAAAGCAAACAGAGGTTCGACTTCCAAAGCAAACAGGTGGTGGGATGATCGCACGTTCACCTGGATCGCCGGATTCGCACTTCGTTCCAATGGACTCGCTGAACTAGCCCAGCCACTCCGCCCCAGACTAGACCCTGAAAAACAAGAAAACACAGAGAGGTCGTCTGTGGGTTTTTCACAGCCTCTTCATATTGGGAGTTTCTAATTACAATAAGTTACTCCTTGTTTTCTTTCCTTTGTGAGTTTTACCCCGAAGACTCGAATCCCAGCTGCGGGTACTCTCCTGCGCAAGCACGGTCACCACGATGTTCAAACACTTTCTATAGTTGTTCTTTATACCAAGTGTTGGACTTCTTGACTGGGGAGGCCATCACTAAGGTTGGAGGCCACACGCTTCTGCGGGTTCCCTGACAGGTTCCCTTGGAGTGCTATCGAGCCGGTTCCGCGCAGAAACGTTCACTGGGTGGTTGGTCACCTATTGGTCGCCTAGCAACCCTCCCACGGAATCGGGAGTACCAACGGAAGTCATGGAAGCCGGAATCGGTCCATAGCGCCCCAAATTGGCTGGCGGATCTTCGTCGAATGCACAGTCAACGAATCAATAAATCTCCCTCTCGTGAAGCTTTTGGCGGATTCTTAGAGACAAAACTGAAGATCAAGCGGTCCCAAAAAATACACCAAGATATCACACACGTGCCACCTGCCACCACAGAAAATACCACTTAGAATACCCTTAGCTTGGCTACAGAATATTGCATGAGAATACCCTTCACACCACTGGGCTGGTGCTCCATTTGTGTGATTTCAAGCACGGATTCCAAGGGTTCCTTCGAATGGTTGCCATGCTTTCGTGAACACCACCTGCGTGGGGTATTCATCGTTCTAAGGAACGGACTTCCCCCCGGCAAATGCACTCCGAAACCAACGTGCCGCGCCTTGGCGTAGCAGGTGGCACATAAACCCTCCTGCCGGTCGGTCGGGAGACTCCGGATCTCCGACCGGTGCGGAACAGGTGACCGGTGACGTCGCAAGGCTTTAGAGGAGAACGTGGGACCAATGGTCTGTAAACAAGGAGACGTGAAAACGTTCAAAGACTTCCAAGGCTTCCGTCATTTTTTTCCCTATATCTACTATTTTAAGGGGGTATCACTTAGAACTATGAGAGGTCTGCTTTACTTTCGTATGTATACTCTTGGGACCACATATAACCATTAACAGCGTGCGATACAATATTGCCATTTGGTGGAACCACAGGATCTTGTCCTCGGATTGCTCATGAAAAGGCAACTTGTGGTTTTGACTGTTCGCTGTGTGATCCGGCACAACTCAGACCGTCTGAGCACAGTAACAGAGTTGGCACACGGAATGGATGCAGTTGAGTGTTGACCCTAAATTTTGCATGGAATACTCGTCACAATAATTCTACATTCTTTATCATTCTTTCCGCATTGGCTTCATGTCTACTCAAGAACTCACTTCGAAGCATCAACACCTGGCAGTCCTTGAAATGCCGGGTGTTTTTTTTCGGTCCAAATCCACCGAACCGACGGCTTCGGCCCAGCAACTTCACCCAGTTTGCGGAGGATGAGCCCAACTCATCGACGGTTGGGTTTTCTTCATTTCACAGCAGGGCTCAACTCGTGGAGGCGCTGAGTCTTTTCACGACGCGCAACGTCTGAAAGAAAGAAAAGAAGGCTTTTCGTGCAATGACGTGCATTCATGTAGATCTCTCTCCCTCTCTCTTTCACTACTCTCTTTCTTTTGGAGGGGTATAATTACTTCGGATCGTCACACGCACTTCAGAGAATGCCCCCTGGCCCTGTTTCCTGCTTAGTAGCGATTCCTGCTGCCATGCTGAAGATGAGCAGAGTCGTCAACGGTTGAGGATGGGCCAACATCTCAAGAAGACAAGAACACTCAAAAGCTCTGTCTAAGTCTAAGTCTTCAAATGCTTATACCTGGAACTTCGTTACGGCAATAATAATTGCCGTTTTCATGAAACGTCGCCTTTTTGCGTTCTGCGGCGTTCTTCCATATTGATCTCATGGGGACGGCGTTTCTTGATGAACTGCGGCAGCTTCGGTCAGTTGACGGCAATTTTGGTCCACACATCCATGCGCCTCAAAGAGTCATTTCGTTTTAGTTTTAGTGTAGGCGAGTATGAAACATTGTAGGGTCTTGCTTGAAAGGCAACTGAACGTAAAAGGCGTCTTATTATATCAGCAAACTCGCATAGTCATGTGAAGTGGAAAGGGCAGCTGATGGAAGTGTCACATGCTGGGTTTTCGTCGGTTTTCGCGGGTAACTCGACCTCTTGCGCGGCGTTGCAGAAGATTTCGCGTTTAAAGTTACGGCATTCTTACCCGTACTTGCGGCGTTTTTCCCCGTACTTACGGCGTTTTTCCCCGTACTTACGGCGTTTTCCCCCTACTTACGGCGTCGTTCCCTTACCCTGTCTATAGGGTCACTCAAGGTGGCAGCAAGACTTGTCACAACATGTCACAAGCGATCCTTTCAGCCATTGCATGATCAAAATGTGAGCAAATCCTGCCGTGATGTCAATCGAGACCTTAGACAAGGGCTGCAACATCTTGAGAAGTGCTACCATGAGGCTTGAAAACGATGAGCTCTACTTACAAGTGAAAAAGGAGAAGGCAATTTCAGGGTATGGACGGACCAAAACAATATCCTCTTTGGTAGATCAATCAAAACGGCGCTTCTTCTTTTGTGACGGCGTTTTCACTTCTCTGACGGCGTTTTCACTTTCCAGGGATTGAGCTACGGCAGAAAAAATGAGTTACGGCAGAAATTATTGCCTCAACAGCCTACGGCAAAAATTATTGCCTCGGGAGGGTCTAGGTATAAATGAGCATCTACTTAATCATCTTAAGCCTGAATGATGCTCCGGAGAAATGCCGACTGAATCCTCTCAACAAAAACCCGCTGACGCCATGCGCCGAGTGCTCCCACCCCACCCCATCCCACTCGACCACTCTCTAGTGGCTCGTGGGACGCACGCAGAGCCCCGCGCGCCTTCGAACTGCGTAGGGTGCCGCCATCCATCGCGCGACGGAAAGAGGTGGAGTGAGCTGGTGGGTCAGGCTTTGGCCGGATAGGTTTGGCAGGTGTGAAATGGCCATGGAACAGTTGGAACATGGCCTAACAAGGAGGGGAACATCTCCTCTGTAAACAAGGAAGGGTTCTTCTTGTCAGTGTAACCTTGACCTAACAAACCTATTTGTACTAATTATGCCAGAAGCAAAGCAAATGGTTTGGTTCACATTGGATGAAAGGATCCTTTTTGCAATCTTTTTCCTACAAGTGATCTGGGACCCGAACTCCTCGGCGGCGAATCATCCCAAGATGATTGAACATGATGTAGATTGGGTACGAACAACTTTCCAACTAAGTCGCTTGTGACTCGCCTGTGACTCGTCCAAAGAGCGAGCTCCTTGTCCTTGTCGGTGTCACTTGGCCGGACCTTTTTTGTTTGATCTGAACCAGTGCTCCTTTTGGCACCTTGGTCCAGAACAGCTTGGGAGACACGGCTTCTTTCTTTCGACGGCTCATTTCTTTGAGGGCGAGAGAGCAAAGATCCAGCGATGAGGTGCTTTTGGGATTCTTTTGTACTAAAAAGCTCTCCATCACCCATACAAATCACCAGCAAAAAGTATCCATCACCAATGCCAACATCCATCACCCATATACATCAGATCACCAATCCCTCACGAAGTCTGAGACACACTCTTTGCTCCCAGTTTTTCTTTTTTTCCTCGGGTGCTTCTTGGAGGGGTCGAGCTATACCCGACCATGTTCCGATGCACGTCGGTTCCGATGCCCCCGGAGCGACACACGAAAACGACACGAAACGACCACGAAACGAGGCTAACGCGTTCGATGGATGGACCGAGTAGTCTTCGTGTTCCAAGAGACTTTTGTTACTTTGTCTGTTATCTTTTGTGATCAAGCTTATCATGGCTTATCATCAACTGGAATTTTTTTGTTTGTGCCTTTTGTGCGTGCTTTCACTCAAACTACAAGGGGTCACCATGCAAAAGGTCGCCAGGAAAACGATATTTCCTGTTGAGGGTCCTGTCTACTGTCTATCTAAATCTACTGTACTTGTAAGTCTATTTATATACAATTTATATAGTCCGTTTGTCTGTGACCAGTGCATGACATATATCACGGAATCAACAGAAAAATAACCTCAACATAACATGTTTGACTGACATGTATGTGACTTTCATTTGGCCAAAAGAAGTCAACTCTTTTGGATGTCTGGTGCGCGTGACAATTTGAGAAAGCACATGAAAGCACCCAACTTCCCAACTTCCACAACCCAACAGGAGAGTTCATCATGCAAAATCCGTACGGCCACAAACATTCCGATACACTTCACCGTGCAACGCCGCTGGGGAATCCACTGAACCCCCCCCCAAAGACAACCACCCAGTCCACCTGGGTCCACGGTGATTCCTTCAGTGGCATCCATGCGCGCCAGTTCTGGACCCGACGCCGACATGCAACACATCAACTGGGTGAGGTGGCCATGTCTCTTCTTCAAAGGCCGTGCCTCCACATGCCCCGACCGGATGACCGCAGGTTGACCAAGTCATTGCTCCAAAGCCCTCAAAGCCCCTGAACCGGACAGGAGAAAGACCCATGGTTTGGCGCTTTAGCATCCGTGAGTAGCAACGAAATGACATAGAAGCCAGTCAAGGCACCCTTTTGGGAGATGCCACTCGGTGAAACGAGAAACCTCTATCACCATAGAAAAGCTCTTCAAGACCTCTGCTCCATCTGAGCTCCGCCCCCCAAAATTCAGAAAAGACATCTGCCTCGCGTAGACGTTCGTCCAAGAGGTCCTTCCAGTCGCGTCGCGTCATCGGAGCTCTGGTCGCACAGCGGGGTGTAACATGTACAAAACAATCAAGGCCGCAAATTGCGCCGTTTGGAAGGTGAGGTCACATCAAACATTGCCATGTTTTTGATTGTTGTGCTACGGGTACAAACACTGTAGATGCCGGTGATGCCATGAGCGTTGCATGGCTTGCAAGGGAGTCGACACTTTGGACATAGCAGCGTTTCGACTCCATATCTTGTCAGCGGCTTTGATTCGGAACAACACTTATCATTCGTCACGATTATGTTCGGGGTCATGCTGGGTGTCAAAGACATCGCAAATACGGTTAAACAATGAAGCATAAAGATTGTATATGGAGTACTTGAATCAAAACCAGCAAACATCTACTGCAGTTGTGAGGCACATGAAACTGGACAAATCTTTCCAGGCTTTCTCGCTGGAATGCTTCGCGAGTACACCCAAACCGCTCATCGGACAGGTCATGATAAAAACTATAGTTAATTCTATGTGTACGTATAGATACTGTATAGATACTGTATACCTGAAAAGCTCAAGGCCGTAAGCACGAAGGGACAAATTGGCTTGCTTGGCTGAGATATGCACACCACTTCTGAGTCACAGAAAAGTATAGCTGCCCGCTACCTCTCCTGCTCTTTTTGGAGTGAATGTCATGCTGAAGTGTGACACCATCAGGCTCCTTGGTTCCATCAGATGCTTCAGAGGCCCACGCACGGCAGTGCCGCAGCAACGCCTCCGCGGCGGAGCTCCGCGGAGAAGGCGGTGGAGGGTGGGAGTGCTCTGGAAGCCAATGCACTCGTTAAAACACATGAACAGTTGGTCGAGTCATTTTGATGATCGACTTGAATCTGGGGGTATTTTTTGAACTACACACTGCTGGTGATCGTCATCCTCTTGACATAATTACACCTTCAGTCCAATTCCTCAATCAGTGAACGATGATGATGATGATGATGAATCATGACGACTGACACAGACCTTTAACCAATGATTTACATAAATTGCCCAAACAAGGTGACACAAAAAGAGGAAAACACTCGCGGAAAAGTTCAGCGTGGTCAAACTTCTCTTGGATGACCCAATCAGTGAGAAACAACGTTACTCTCGATTTCTTGCCTGCTGCTTCTCTTCCACCGCCGCCGTGTGCGCTGCTGCAGACTCGGCCTCCAACCCATCCACGGCCGGGAGGGGTGTGCACTCGGGTTCATCAATCACGGGACTAAATTTTTTCGTGCAAAGTGCATCGTATCAATGTGGAAAAACATGAATACAGGAGTTAATTGGAATGATTCTGTGTTATTTCTTTGGCATCGACCCCCTTTCAACATGCGCACAGAAAAGAATTAACTCGCGAGATAAGCCATCGGTGTGTGGCCGATTTTTGGCACCAACACAATATAAGATTTAACTATTGCTTTACATATTTTTTTAATGGGTTGGTAGTTTTTGTTTGTTTGTGGCATTGCTGGCTGTGTGTTTCTTTGGGGCATGGTTTTTTTCCACCCGTTTTGGGTTCTATTCTGACTGTTTGGAGTAGGGCTCTTTTTTGACCCGTTTCAGGGTTCTTTTTTGACACGTTTCAGGGTTCTTTTTGGACCCGTTTCAGGTTTTTTTTGGACCCCTTTCAGGGTTCTTTTTGCCCCGTTCCAGGTTTTTTTTTGACCCGTTTCAGGGTTCTTTTTTGGCCCGTTTCAGTGTTCTTTTTTGACCCGTTTCAGGGTTCTTTTTGGACCCGTTTCAGGGTGTTTTTTTTAACCTGCTTTAGGGTTCTTTTTTGTCTCGTTCTTGAAATTAGATCGGGTAAAGGCTGTCGAATCTCTGAA